TTTTTGGTCAGGCAATCAAAAATTTCATCCCAAAATTCTAAAACTTCACTTGTGAAATATTAGCTTGTATTTATTTATATTTTTCTTTCTTTTTTGGGGGGTGGGGGGTACTATACATTGAACTCAGGGCACTCAACCACTGAGCCACATCCCCAGCCATATTTTTGCATTTTATTTAAAGACAGAGTTTCACTCAGTTGCCTAACCATCGCTGAGGCTGGCTTTGAACTAGTGATCCTCCTGCCTCAGCCTCCCTAGCTGCTGAAATTACAGGTCTGCACCACCATGCCCAGATAGCTTTTATTTAAATTAACGAAATAACTGAAAAACATTGCCTTTTAAAACGAAGTGCTACTTGCAAAAATAAGAGCAAACCTTTCCACTCTGACGGTGAGGTCCTCTGCAGGTCTTGGATTTGAACATCCACTAGGCTCCTGAGAGGGAGTAGTACGGTCTGAATTTTCTCCTCCTTAAATAAAAAAGAAATAAAGAGTAGAACATTCAATGCAACTTATATAAAATTTTGTTCATTTGGGGGGGAGGGTACTGAGGATCTTATTCAGAGTTGTTTTACCACTGACTTATACTCTCAGCTTTCCCTATTCCTCCACCTTTTTATTTTAAAACAGGGTCTAAATTGTTGAGGCTGACTTTGAATTTGCAATGCTCCTGCCTCAGCCTCCCAAGTAGCCACAGGATTACAGGCATGCGCCATCATCATTTTTTTTTTTAATTAAATATTTATTTTTTAGTTTTTCAGCGGACACAACATCTTTGTTTGTATGTGGTGCTGAGGATGGAACCCGGGACGCACGCATGCCAGGCGAGTGCGCTACCGCTTGGCTTGAGCCACATCCCCAGCCCAAGAGAGAGAATTTTTTAATATTTACTTTTTAGTTTTTCGGTGGACACAATATCTTTATTTTTTTATTTTTATTTTTTTTTTATGTGGTGCTGAGGATCCAACCCAGTGCCCCGCGCATACCTGGCGAGTGCACTACCGCTTAAGCCACATCCCCAGCCCCTTAATGCAATTTTTAAAAGGTTTAACCTTCTGGGTTTTGACACCTGTTAATAATCTTGTTTCTTAAACATTTCCCCTAAGAAAAGAATAGCAGGTATGTAATAATTATCAATCCTGAAGTTTAGTTCTGGATAAAATAAGGTATAAATGGAAATAAGGCAACTATCTGATTGAAGGTCACCAAAGTAAAGGTCAGGAATAAAATATGAATAGAGATCAGTTTTGCAGGAGGCATACACGGCCAGAGGTAAGCTTCACTCAAGAGCAGTGCTATATGGTATCTAAGCTGACCAATACATTAGCCACTGGATATATGTGGCTACTGAACACTTGAAATCAAGCTACTATTGGTGAAGGACTAAGTGTATAACTGTATTTATTTTTAAATAAAATAGTCTTATGTGGCTCTCTAGTGTGGAATACTGTTACTCTAGAAGTTAAGTATGATCCTTATATGACTCTAGACTACACTGGTCTGAAAAATTTGTTTCTGTTGACTGGAGTGATTCTTTAGAGAGTCTTTTTATATCTATACTAGTATTCTTTTTTTTTTTTTTTTAAAGAGAGTGAGAGAGTGAGAGAGAGAAAGAGAGAGAAAGAATTTTTCAATGTTTATTTTTCAGTTCTCGGCGGACACATCTTTGTTTGTATGTGATGCTGAGGATCGAACCCAGGTCGCACGCATGCCAGGCGAGCGCGCTACAGCTTAAGCCACATCCCCAGCCCTATACTAGTATTCTTTAAGGATTTCCAAAGGATAGAAGATCCTGTCCTGTTCTAGAAGATAGTCATGGCCTCATACTTCCTTTTAGAACCTGTTGTGTCCCTTCTTATCATTTGCCACCAACCTGTTTTTTCTTGACAGTTATGATCTTTGGAAGAGAAAGAACTACAGAACAATGACTGGGACGCAAGTTTTGTGAAGTCACTTCTGTTATTTAATCTCTCTGTGTCTCATGTGCAAAATGGGGATAATAACTTCACACATTTTTTATGAGAAATATATATTAATACAATAAAATGCTCAGAACTACTAAGACTGGCATATAGTAACTCTTCAGTTACTAGGCAGCAACAGATATAATTAATATTACACCAAGTAAATCCAATGGTGGATTTATTTTTATTTTTTTGGTACCAGGGATTGAACCCAGGGGCATTTAACTACCAAGCCACATCTTCAGGCCTTTTTTTTATATTTTTTTAGAGATAGGGTCTTGCCAAGTGGTTTAGAGCCTTGCTGAGTTGCTAAGGTTGGGTTTGAACTTTTGGTCTGCCTGCTTCAGCCTCTCAACTCACTGGGATTACAGGCATGCCCCACTGCATCTGGCTGTACATCTTCTAGGTAGCTGGCAATCAGCCATAGTGGAAGTAGGTACATTTGCAAATTACCAAATACCACAAGTAACGGTTTTAAGCTTCCACAGAAGCTTTTGTTAAATATTTACTAGCACACTACTGAATATAATCTTTGGATAAGTAGTAGTAACCACTGGCAGCCAGCAATGTTCAATGGGAAATTAACTTTTTAGTAAATAAAATGAATGCCAAGGACATAATTATCATCAGCAACAAATTTAACAAAACTTTTGAAAAAGAACTTATGGACAAGCTGGAGATAGAAAGTGCTGGATAGCAATTCAGTTACAAGAATTTATGATCCATAATCAAAGGGAAATGGATAGATGTCATACAGAGGAAGATTTCTAATCATATATCAGAGTTCTATTTTCAGTATTTTATAAATGAATTTATCTCTAATTTTAGGGTAACCCAAAAGTGGGTGGAAGTTAAATTTCTTTAACTGACAAACACTGAATGAAAAGTTCTGGAATGAAAAAGAAAACTCTATAAGCTAAGACAACTGATAACATCTAAACATAATGAAAATATATTAGGGGAAATAATAACTTTGGTTTAGAGTTAACTGGAATATCAGGTATAATATATCTCCTGATGGAAATATACACCATCACCTATAAAGTAATCCTAACAAAAAGTACTAAAAAGGGAACTTGAATCTGATACAGCCTGTAGCTTTAATTATCCAATTCAGAGGAAATCAAAAGGGAAAGAGAAACATTTACATAATAACATGGGGATGCAGCAAAGTCCAAATTCTAGGAAACCAGAGGAAAAAAATGCCTAATAGTAGGAATATTAACTTAATTAAAAAAAAGAATACAGAAAAATAACTGAATTCCGACTTTTATATTCAGCAAAAATATCCTTCCAGAATGAAAATAAGATACATTTTTAGATAAGACCTGCACAATACCAAATGCTAAAGGAAAATTTTCAGGCTGAAGGGAAATTATATCAGAGGAATCACATATCCTCAAAATGGAATGAAGAATTTAAGAAACTTAAAAGGTTAATTGTTCTGTTGTAGACCTAAATGAACTATTTTCATAACAGAGTGTCCCAGTTCTGTATGCATTCAAAATTTGAATGATTTGTGAGTGTAAAACCTCAAAATAAGACTGATAGCTGTTCTTCAAATATTCAAAATTGGTCCAGGTGCATTGGTGTAGGCCTGTAATCCCAGTGGTTCGGGAGGCTGAGATAGTAGGATCTAAACCAAAAGCCAGACTCAGCAATTTAGCAAAGCCCTAATCAACTAACTCAGCGAGACCCTGAAAATACATTAAATACAAAAAAGGGCTACGGGGGCACTGGGGTTGCAGCTCAGAGGTAGAGTACTTGCCTACCATGTGTGAAGCACTGGGTTTGATCCTCAGCGCCACATAAAAATAAAGATATTGTATCCACCTATAACTAAAAAATAAATATTAAAAAAAAGGGGGCTATGGGGCCAGTGTTGTGGCTCAGTGGTAAAGTGTTTGCCTAGCACGCATGAGGCACTAGGTTTGATCCTCAGCACCACATAAATAAAATAAATAAATAGGTGCAGGTGTTGTGTCCATCTTAAAAAAAAAAAAAAAGCTATGGGTATGGCTAAGTGGCTGAATGCCTCTGAGTTCAATTCAATTCACAGTACAAAAAAACAAAACTCAAAACCTTAATTTTATTTAGTTATTGCTATATGGTGCTAAGGATCAAACCCAGGGCCCTGCATGTGTTAGGCAATCGCTCTACCACTGAGCCACAACTCCAGCCCTAGAACTTTTTTTTTTAAACTAAAGTTATTCAAACATAGAATAGGCTTCTTAGCAAGGAAAAGATGAGCTTCCTATTACTGAACATTCAGATACAGAGAATGGTTTGACTTAATGATTTTTCAACTTCCTGATGCTGTGAAAGCACACTCATTCAGTAGAAAACACACTTCAAATTTGGATCTTTTTCTGGGCTAGTAATATACAACAACATTGTCTATGCTGAGTGGAATACACATCAATCCATAGCTCCCAGTCAGTCAATGATAATGAAGGTAAACCACTGTATTGATAAGTCATGGTGCTCAGTAGGTTAAGTATATTAAATGTCCTTTGGACTTAGTGTTTTTCAATTTGTGATTGGCCCATCAGAACATAATCCCATCTATAGAGGGGATGATTATCTGCCTGGATGCTAGAGTAGGATTATATGTTAGGATAGTGATATTCTAACTTCATGATTTACCTACCTTATGTTGCCTGATACAAAGCTTTTATACTATATAACTCTAATTCCAAATATATAAAATTTCTCTTTTGCCTTTTCTACCAACCCTTTTGTAGTCACCCTTTATTTCTATAGATGTTTCATATTTTTATTCTAATTAAAAAAATAATACTTTTCCCTTTTAAGCGTGTACAGCATTTCAGATGTTACAAAAGCAAGTATAAATAAATTAGTTGATTTGAATCTTTCAAAATTCTCTAGGCTGGGAGATATTTATAAAACTGCAAAATGTCCCAATGACATTCCTTGAATTATGTAAGCACAGCAGCAGAATTTACTACGGAGTACCTGAGAATGAAGGATACATACTCTATCTTCTTCTGCCACTACATGACACAGATATAATTAAGACTACTCTAAAATTTAAAGTTGAAGATAAAAAAAGAAAAACAATGTCATCCAGCACAGTGGCACATGCCTGTAATCCCAGCTACTTAGGAAGCTGAGGGCAAATTCAAAGCTAGCCTCAGCAACTTGGAAAGACCCTGTCTCAAAATAAAAAAGAATTGGAGTTATAGATGAATGTAGAGCACCTCTGGGTACAATTCCTAGATTATAAAATACAACAATAATAAAACCTAAATATATGCACATATATTTAGGCATATATACACGTATATATATTTACATATATAATTATACATACATATAATTACACACACACATATATATTTATACCTATATATATACATGTTAGGCAAGTGCTCTACCATTAAGCTACAGTCCCAGCCCTTTAGTTTTAAAAATATTAATCCATGCTCTTGTTTATTTTTTTGTGGTGCTGAAGATCGAACCCAGTGCCTCACGCATGCTAGGCAAGTGCTCTGCCACTAAACTACAGCCCCAGCCCAATCCATGCTCTTTAAAATATAGCAAAGGGATATTTCTATTGTACCCAAAAAGGTATTCTAAAAATTACCTGTTGCAACATCTGACTTTGTATCAGGAGAAGTAGGTGGTGTCTCACAAAGCTCTGTATTTCTAGACTGGGAGTTTTCAGATGTGTCATTAGGTTCAAATGAGGCAGATGGAGTACACATTGAACTTTCTGACTGGCTGCCATTTGCCACTGATGTTTCACCTTTTAATGAGTGCATCTAGGGAGAAAATAAATGGGAATTTAATTAGCATATAAAAATCTGAATTTACCATGGCAGATGAGACTAAAATATGAGTTAAGCCAATTTGTACTAGAGATAAGTACTAAACTTTCATAAGTAGACAAATCTAAAATGTATAATCCTAAATATGACAAAATTACATCATGAAATTCAATTGCAAGTTGGTAAGAGCATAAAAAGGTGTTATTAAATTCAAAGAAAAAGTTACAAGCTTATATTATTAGCCTCTTTCCCAAAGTGGATAGAAACAAGGAATTGAGTTTAAAGTCCTTAAGTCAGTCAAGCAATATATAGACAACAGGGTAATGATAAAAACTCTCTCCTGCAACAAAATAATGGTGATATGCATTATGTGGTTAGGATCGGGGGCAAAACAGAAAACTGAATACGAAGTTACTCAAGTATTAGGTAAAGGCATCCGTATCTTCATAATGCTATTTTCAAAACCAATCCAGGTAGCCAGGCGTGCCAGTGCATGCCTGCAGTCTCAGCTACTTGGGAGGTTGCAGCAAGAGGATCACCTGAGCTCAGGAGTTCTAAGTCAGCCTGGGAAACATAATAGTTCCTCACCCCCTTTTTTTTGGTACAAGGGATTGAACCCAGGGATACTCAACCACCGAGTCCCATCCCCAGCTTCCCCCCCTTTTTTTAAGAGAGAGAGAGAAAAATATTTAATATTTATTTTTTAGTTTTTTGGTGGACACAACATCTTTATTTTATTTGTATGTGGTGCTGAGGATTGAACCCAGCAACCCGCGCATGCCAGGTGAGCGTATTACTGCTTCAGCCACATCCCCAGCACCCCCAGCCCTTTTAAAAAAACTATTTTCTTTAGAGACAAGGTCTCACTGAGTTGTTAGGGCCTTGCTAAGTTGCTGAGGCTGGCTTTGAACTTGCCATCCTCCTGCCTCAGCCTCCCGAGTTGCTGCGATTACAGGTGTACACCATCACACTTGGGTTAAACACCACCTCTTAAAACAAAAAGAACAGTTCAGGAAGATGGTCTTTATACTTTTTAAGTTTAATAGTATAGCAGATTCTTTATACAGAGGGTCTCTAAAAATATTCCAATGTCAAACTCTTGATAAAAGATCAATTTCCTCTGTTTATGCAAAAAACAATTCTATTCCTCCTCACCTGTCGGACTTTGTGAATTCTTGTAACGAGTTCATCTGCAGAAACACTTCCAGCTATTACTTCCAAAGGGATTCCACTGTCTCCAATAAAGAAACTGGATGGAACACATACTACAGGATCTGTAGTTTAATTAAGTCTAACAATTCATGTGAAACAAAAGGATAATTTCTGGAAACATTATTGATAACAACTTATTTTTGTGAATTTCATAATACAATCCACTAACATGTTTATAAAATAATTTCAACTACCATAACTATAGTGTATGTGGTAAATAAAATGATTTATGATTTACTTATTTTTATACTGAGGACTGAACCCCAGGGGAGTTTTACCACTGACCAAATGCCAATTCATTTTAAAACAGGGCCTTTAAGTTGCTAATAAGCTCAAACTTAGAATTCTCCTGCCTCAGCCTCCCAAATTGCTGGGATTACAGTCATGTGTCAAGGCACCTGGCTATAATTGAAGACATACTCCCCATTCTTCTCCATTGTGATATATATATCTTTCTACCAGCTGCCTCTAGACAGCTACTTCTAATATTTCAACCAAATTGTTCCATGTAGCTTTTTAGATATTCACATTAAAAGAACAAACTGTATTCTCCCATTAAACACATGTATTATCTCAAAGGACACTTTGTAATATGTTTCTGCAACTAAGAATTTAAGGTTTTCTGAATAAAAACCCACTATTACTAAATTTTATGAATTAGCCAAAAGAAAGGTAAATGTGTAAATTGTGTTAGTATCATATAAAACCAATTGTTCACTGAAAGGATACAAATTTGTGAAAATTGTAGGCAGGCTTCACTGTAAAACAAAATGGAAGAGAAGAATCACTAGATGAATGCAACTATTTCCAAAAACTGTTTTTTTTAATAAAACTTATTGTATCAGTCACAACTCTTTTTTTCTGAAATTAATGGCTGAAAGCAAAAATTGTAACTCTGATTTCATAAAACTTTTTGGGTTTATTTTTCTTATAATTTTCAGATTAAAAAAAATCATTTGCTCTTATAACCGACAAAACTGGATTTATTCAGCATCTACCATGATGCTTCTTCAGCAGCAAGTATACCTGAATACAAAATTTAACCTGTAACAAGATAGAATTATGACTTACTTGTGCATGTGAACATAATATTCTGAAACAACAAAGGATTCCAAAAAACCTAAATATCCACCAATAAAAACTGATTAATTATACAATCACAAAAAGGAAAAAGGTATAGAAGAAAAGTGGATGAACGCCACCATTTTTGTAAAAAAAAAAAAACGGGAAGAATTTTCTTAATTTGGTTGTCCCCAGAGAAGGGAACTGGGTGGTTAGGAATGGGACAGACTAACACCAATAAGATATTAATTAATGTAGAGTAATGTAGATTGATTCTAAGAATTAATTCTCATGTCTTCCATATTTCCAACAAACCCTTATATTCTTCCTGCCATTCGTGACTCTAAGAGGTGCTTTTTGGAAGACAACAGACAATATAAAAAAAAAAAAGATATGATGTATTTGACTGATTCTGTTTATAAAAAACAAAATAAACAACAACAACAACAAAAAAAAAACACAACAGGGGACTGGGGCTGTAGCTCAGTGGCAGAGCACTTGCTAGCATGTGTGAGGCACTGGGTTCGATCCTTAGCACCACATAAAAATAAACAAAATAAAGGTATTTTGTCTATCTATAACTACAAATAAACAGGGATGGAAATATAACTCAGTGGTATAGCACTTGCCCAGCACGTGCAAGACCCTAGGTTTGATCCCCTTGCCCCCCGCCTCAAAACAAACAAACAAACAAACAAACAAAAACCCCTAGTATAGGGCTGGGGTTGTGGCTAAGGTGTAGAGCGCTCACTAGCATGTGCGAGGCCCTGGGTTCGATCCTCAGCACCACATAAAAATAAATAAATTAAATAAAGGTATTGTGTCCAACTACAACTAAAAAATAATTAATACAGCTCAACAAATGTAGTTTGGTGAGCTGGGGATATAGCTCAGTTGGTAGAAGGCACAAGGCATGTGGGTTCAATCCCCAGCACCCCCCCACATACACACAAAGTAATTTGGGAACTGTTGTAGAAGGCAGGCCATACTATAGTTTTAACTGTAATATTTTTGTTAATGTAGAAATTTTAAAAAAATATTTCCTTTAGTTGTACATGGACACAATACCTTCATTTTATTCATCTTTTTGTATGTGGCGCTGAGGATTGAACCCAGTGCTTCACACACGTGAGGCAAGCACTCTAACGCTGGGCCACAACCCCAGCCTCAAGGTGGAAAATTTCTAAATAAAAAAGTTTAAAAGCCCATAAGTTGAGTTAAACATTTTCATCTTGTGATTTTTAAACACATTATTTATTCTGATATTATCAATATCAAAAGGCAGGAATACCACCGTGTAATTGCTAATGAGTTACTCTTCCTAGGAAGTGATCACTATTGACTTCTAACATCACACAGAAAGATAACAAGGTATTATAGCACTATCTAAAAAGTGATCTTAAAGGGGGGAGGACGAATCTGAATCTATCTACCAATTTATAGAAAACAGGGGACAGAAGAACTAAGGAATAGAGTAACTATACAGAATAAATGATTTATTTTTTCAAAACAAATTACAAAGTAAAAAGAGGTGAAGGAGAAGTCAACAGACTAAAAGACTTCAGAAAGATCCAAATGATCCTGAATCAAAAGAACTATGATACATCAATTAATAAAACTATGACTTTGATAAGAAAGTTGAAAATTTAAACAATGATTATTAATAAAATTAAATAATTATGAGTTTGTTTCTGAAGTATCACAGTTGTTTAAAAAATTAAGCACTGTTATCCTTCAGACACACGGAAGTATTTATAGATGAAGTGATGTGATGACTATGATTTCTTTCAAAAGCATATGGTTGGCCTGGGGTTGTGGCTCAGAGGAAAAGTGCTCACCTAAGCATGCGTGAGGCACTGGGTTCGATCCTCAGTACCACATTAAAAAAACAAATAAATAAGGGAATTGTGTCCACCTACAACTAAAAAATAAATGTTAAAAAAAAAAAAAGCATATTGGATGCCTGGGGTGGAGGCACACACTTGTGGATATTTTGTATTATGAAGGATCTATAAATGTCCCTATCCCTTTGGAATTAAATAGCTCCATCCCCAAAAATAGGTTCCAAGAAAGTGAAGAGAGATCACTCACTTGCTATTCAATATTTGGCTTATACTTAGTTCCAAGTTCTTGGAAGCTAGAGACCACAATTCTTTTGCATTCCTGCTACATGTTACATGGCTGCTCAGTAAACTTGAAAAACCTGAGATTTTTTTCAGCTAGATGCAATGATGAATTTGGAAAAAAAAAATAGAATTTCAGTTCTCACTATGCCTTAGATACCTACAAACATGACATCAGCATTCTTATAGTCCAAGAGTAACATTTGTGAATCACAACAAAAGACCACAATTATCAAATAAAAGAAGTGAAAATATTAAAGCATAAGCAAACCTTTTGGTATCGATTTTAATAGCAACAAAACTGTTTGAAGATGCTTCTGTCACTTTCTCATCTTCCCAACTTGCAGCCATCTCTGTAGACTGCTCATCATCACCTGTAAAACATTTTAAGAATTCTTAAAATATACAGCCAAGATTTGCTGAGTCCGAATTATTTTTTCTGGAAAACTACAACTTCAAATAAAATATAATATCATATGTAAAAATCCATCAAGGGCTGATGATACAACTCAGTGGTAAAGCATTTGCCTAGCACGTACAAGGCCCTGAATTCGATCCCCAGCACCACACACACAGATATCCACTGCTGACTTATATGTTGAGAATATTTACCTACTCATATTTTTTAACCTTATACCTTTATTTTCTTTAGTTTTTTTTTTTTTTAATGTGGTGCTGGATATTGAATCCAGTGCCTCATGTGTGATAGGCAAGCATTTTATCACCGAGCCACAAACCCTAGCCCTTACCTACTCATTTTTGCTTTCTTCCAGTATGCACCTCCTTCCTTAATTCAATCTACCCTTTGCCTTCCCTATCTCAGGTATCTGTTTATGGTAACTCCATCCTTTCAGTCCTGAGGCCAAAAACCTTAGTTAAACTGGGCATAGTGGTATGTGCCTGAAGTCCCAGACACTTGGGAGGCTGAGACAGGAGCACTGCTTAACCCAAGAGTCAGAGGTCAGCCTGGACAACTCAACAAAACAAACAGGTCTGGGGATATAACTCGGTGGTAGATAATTGCCTACCATGTATGTAAAAACAACAAAACATTCCCAGTTTTCCAAGGATTCTTCATACTGCTTTCTGTATTTTTTTTTGAGAATTTTTTTTTTTTTTTTTTTTTTTTTTAGTTTTCGGCGAACACATCTTTGTTTTTATGTGGTGCTGAGGATTGAACCCGGGCCGCACACATGCCAGGCGAGTGACTACCGCTTGAGCCACATTCCCAGCTCCCATGCTTTCCATATTGGCTGCACCAATTTGCAGTCCCACCAAGAATGTATGAGTGTGCCCTTTTCCCCACATCCTTGCTAACCCTTATTGTTGTTTGTATTCTTAATAGCTGCCATTCTGACTGGAGTGAGATGAAATTTTAGGGTAGTTTTAATTTGCATCTCTCTAATTGCTAGAGATGAACATTTTTTCATATATTTGTTGGTTGACTGTATATCTTCTTCTGAGAAGTGTCTGTTCGGTTCCTTGGCCCACTTATTGATTGGGTTATTTGGTTTTTTGGTTTTTTATATATTCTTTATATATTTTTTTAGTTCTTTATATTCTGTAGAGATTAGAACTCTATCTGATGTGTGTGTGGTAAGAACTTGTTCCTAATTAGTAGGCTCTCTATTCACCTCACTGATTACTATTCCTTTTGCTAAGAAGCTTTTTAGTTGGAATCCATCCCATTTATTGATTCTTGATATTCATTCTTGTGCAATAGCAGTCTTATTAAGGAAGTTGGGGCCTAGACCAACATGATGGAGATTTGGGCCTATTTTTTCTTTTAATAGACATAGTGTCTCTGGTTTAATTCCTAAGTCTTTGATCCACTTTGAATTGAGTTTTGTGCATGGTGAGAGAGAGAGGTTTAATTTCATTTTGTTGCATATGGAGAATCCTTGGAAAACTGGGAATGGAACCACCATTTGACCCAGCTATCCCACTCCTTGGTCTATACCCAAAGAACTTAAAAACAACATACTACAGATGAAGCCAGATTTATTTATTTATTTTTTTTAAATTTATTTTAATTTATTTTTATTTTTTTTAAAGAGAGAGTGAGAGAGGAGAGAGAGAGAAAGAAAGAGAGAGAGAGAGAGAGAGAATTTTTAATATTTATTTTTTTTTTAGTTCTCGGCAGACACAACATCTTTGTTGGTATGTGGTGTTGAGAAACCCGGCCGCACGCATGCCAGACAAACCCACTACCGCCTGAGCCACATTCCCAGCCCCAAAGAAACCAGATTTAAAGATAGGTAGTTAGTGTAGTTAGGTAACTCGGGTCAAACCGAAAATGAAGGCCATGTTGAGAATGAAGTCTGGGAAAAGCAGAACAACTCTTGGAATGTTAATGTCCCCAAGGCCCAGAGCCCATCCCAAAGAAATTTTAATGAAACAGCTCCCAGCAAACTTGAAGATACTGACCCAAAAGTCCTTCCAGCCCAGATTACACCTTGGCCCACCTGTGCCCCACCCTTCCGGCCTTTCCATCTACATTCCAAAACTGAAAGATAACAGAACAAGGACAGGAATGGGGGGGAAACTAGATATAGACTTTAGCTATAAAAAGGGGAAGACATCGCCCTTCTATGGCTTCCACCTCCTGGGTCTCCTTCTTCCTCCTGGAGAAGTCTTTTCTAATGTCCTTTAATAAAGCCTCCACTTTCAACTCTAAATTTGCCTCGGGGGCTGGGGATGTGGCTCCAGCGGTAGGCCGCTTGCCTGACAAGCCTGCAGCCTGGGTTTGATCCTCAGCACCACATACAAAGAAAGATGTTGTGTTCCCCGAAAACTGAAAAATAAATATTAAAAAAAAAACTCTATGTTAAAAAAATAAATAAAATAAACTTGACTCTGTGTGCTTCTCTGGTGTTATACTTCAACATTGGAGAAGCAAGGACTCCTCAAGGGTAACACAGGGACACAGCCACATCAATGTTTATATACAGCAGCACAAGTCACAATAGCTAAACTGTGGAACCAACCTAGATGCCCTTCAGTGGATGAATGGATAAAGAAAATATGGTACATATACATAGTGGAATATTATTCAGCATTAAAAGAGAATAAAATGTGCAGGTAAATGGATGGAGGCAGAGAATACAATGCTAAGTGAAATAAACCAATCCCCCCCCCAAAAAAACATGCAGAAGGATGTCTCTGATTTAAGGATTCATAACATGCTGTGGGGCACGATGGAGGATGGGAGGATTAAAAGAACTCTATAGATAGGACAAAGGGGAGGGAGGGGACAAAGGGGTAGAAAAGAAGGTGGAATATGATGGCCATCATTATCCTAAGTACATATATGTAGAAATGAAGGATGTGATTCTACTTTGTGTACAACCAAAGATATAAAAAATTGTGCTCTTTATGTGTAATATGAATTGTAATGCATTCTGTTGTCATATATAATTAAAATAAAAATTTTAAAAATAAAGTGAAAAAAACAAAAACAAATCAACTTTAGTTGTCCTTGACTCCAGTTGACCATCTCCAAAATATACTTGGAATGTAACTATTTCTTACCACTTCCACAGTACCACCCTAATCCAAGCTACACATTTCAGCTAAAATAGCTTCTTCTTTTTTTTTTTTTTTTTTGTAAAGTTGTAGATACCTTTGGGCTGGGGATGTGGCTCAAGCAGTAGCTCGCTCGCCTGGCATGCGTGCGGCCCGGGTTCGATCCTCAGCACCACATACCAAAGATGTTGTGTCTGCCGAGAACTAAAAAATAAATATTAAAAATTCTCTCTCTCTCTCACTCTAAAAAAAAAAGTTGTAGATACCTTTACTTTATTTATTTTTATGTGGTGCTGAGGATCGAACCCAGTGCCTCACATGTGTGAGGCGTGCGCTGTACCATGGAGCCACAACCTTAGCCCAAACAGCTAGGCTGGTTCTTTTTGTGTGTGTGTGCGTGTGAGTGTGTGGTGCTGGGGATTGAACCCAGGGCCTTGTGCATGTGAGGCAAACTAAAATAGCTTCCTAACTGGTCTCCCTGGTGGGTCTATTAACATAGCAACTTTCTTTACAAAGAAAGATTATTATATCATCCCTTTCTCAAATTTGTACAATAACTCCCCATTTTTCCCAAAGTAAAAGCCAAAGTTTTTATAAGGGCCATCGGCTCTACACACGGAGCTTCTAATTTACCTGTCTGAATTCATTTCCCATTTTCTTTCTTTTTTGTTTTTTTAAAGAGAAAGAGAATTTTAATATTTATTTTTTAGTTTTCGGTGGACACAACATCTTTGTTTGTATGTGGTGCTGAGGATCGAACCCGGGCCGCATGCATGCCAGGCGAGCGCAATACCGCTTGAGCCACATCCCCAGCCCCCATTTGCTTTCTTGTTATTCCTTTCTTTTCTATTCTCAAACTCAAAAGACACTCCAGATTTCTGGTCTTTGATCAGCTGCTTTGAATTTTCTTCCCCAAATATCTACATGGTTAACTCTGAATTCTCTTTACCTCTCTGCTCAAATATCACCTACTCAGTAAAGTCTTCTGTAATTTCCACCTACAAATTATATCCTCAGATACTTGCAAAGCTCTCTTATCTTTTTTTTTCCAGTATTACCTATCATTTTCTAATAAATGTGTTTTACATTTACTGTTTATTATCCTTTTCCTCTAGCAAGAAAGTTCCACAAGAGCAAAAATTATTTTCCATGTTATAAATTCAAATCCCTAAAAGAGAACTTAGCATATAGTAAATACTCAGCATATAGTAAGCACTCAATAAGTATTCAACAAAATGAATAGCTAAACTTGTGGCACAGTAAGAATCTTACTCTAATGTACAGTCTTAAATAAACAAGCCAATGATCTAAATGTCAAAAACGTAAGTTCCTTCTTCATATTTTACCTGATTCTATTTACCAAAAAGAACCAATATTAACAGTTTGGTAAGTATTAAGGCTAAATATTAGCCAGGCATGGTAGCACATGCTTGTAATTCCCGTGGCTCAGGAGGTTGAGGCAGGAGGATCACAAGTTCAAAGCCAGCAACAGCAGGGGGCTAAGCAATTCAGTGAGACTCTTGTCAGTGAGACCCTGTCTCTAAATAAAATACAAAATAGGGCTAGGGATGTGGCTCAGTGATCTAGTGCCCCGAGTTCAATCCCTGGTACCTCTCCAAAAACAAAACAAAACAAAACAAACAAAAAATCAAACATTGTCTGCTCTCTTTGGGGCTTAAAATCTAACAGTATAAAAAAAATTTAAACAAGTGGACAACTATAATTGCTTACAGTAATAAATACTATTAAAAAAAAAAAGAACTAAAAGAAAATGACAAAAGAGACCTCTTTCCAATTGTCAGGGAAACTTTTTCTAAGGTAACATTTAAGTTAAGACCTAAAGAATGAAAAATCTGGGCTGGGATTGTGGCTCACTGGTAGAGGATTCGTCTAACAACTGTGAGGCCCTGCTGGCTTCAATCCTCAGCATAAAATAAATAAAATAAAGGTATTGTGTCAAATTATTTCTTAAAAAAAGAAAGAAAGAAAGAAAAAATCTAAGTCAAGCACCAGAGTTCCCCAACCAGAAGAAATACATATGCATGGAAAGGCCTAAGGAACTGTGACTGCCAGTTCAATGGGGAGCACAAGATGAGTTAAAGAGTCAAAGATGACTCCCAAGGGCTGGAGTTGTGGCTCAGTAGTAAAGTGCTTGCCTAGCATATGTGAGGTACTGGATTTGATTCTCAGCACTGAATATAAATAAATAAAACATCCATCAACAACTAAAAAAATCTTAAAAAAAAAAATGATGACTCCCACACTTATGATTTATCCAACTAAATGTACAGTGGCCACTGAGAAATTTCACATGGGAGAGAAAAACATATACTTTTCGGCTTGAGAATCGACTGTGAGGGATCTAAATGAGGATGTCACTATAAGTGGCTAGAAGTATGGATGTGTTTGTGAGGTTCCCTCACCTATAATGTACCATGTGGTCAGGATCCCAAACTCCACAATCCCATTGCTAGCTTTCTGAGGGGCAACAGCTGCCACAACAGCAGAGGCAGAAAGTTGAATAAAACTTTCAACTCAGACCTTTTTTTAATACTTACTACCCAGTGCAATAACCAATTGTCAATTTTATTATCTTTAGTTTCTTATTCTATTTATCACTCTATGAAGTTAGATGGGCCTATGATTTTAGGAGAAAATAATGCATCCTTGATAGTATTAGCAGTATCCAAAGGCATTTAAATTCTGAAGCAAGTTGCACACCTTTGTATAGCCTCCCTTCCAATCTAAAAGATCAAATTGCTTAAAACTTAGTAATAGGGTCTATATTAACCAACAACAAAAATCAAACAAAATCCCCCAAACAAAATGAAAAACAGTAAGTGGTGTCTGATATTAACAAATTTAAGCCTGCCTCAGGACACCAGTTAGTGAATAGAAATATACCTTCACTCCACACTCCTTGCTGGATTACTGCAACAAAACCAAATTATCTTGCCTTACCTCTTTCAATTTAAATAGTTACAACTGAAAATCCTTATTAATTTGCTGGCTAAAGTAGCAATAATCTTTCTAGTTTCCTAACATGACTGTACAACATTCTTTAATTCATCCATGAAAATTTTATTAGAGGGTAGGGGTTGTAGCTCAGTGGCAGAGTGCTTGCCTAGCCTATGTGAGGCACTGGGTTCAACTCTTAACACCACATAAAAATAAGCAAATAAAATAAAGGCATTCTATCTATCTGTAATGAAATTTTTAAAAAAAATTTCATTAGATAAAGCCAGGAGGTACATGCCTATAATCTTAAATATTGGGAGGCTGAGCAGGAACATCATTTGAGACCAAGAGTTGGAGGCCTGCCTGGGCAATATAGCAAAACCCAGTCTAAAAATACCAAAAAAAAAAAAAAAAAAAAAAAAAAACAACAACAACAAAAAAAAAACAACTCACCTAAAATGTCTCCCACTTGAATAGTTCTATGAACCAAAGTATACTCTTGAGATCACTCCTTCTAACCATAAGGATATTTTATTACATTGCTATCTTATTGTTGTGGGCCTCAAATCTAAGAAAATCATGGCAGTTCTGGATATATTGTTCAAAGTTATGAACAAAACTCTAGGCAATCTGAAAGTGTTGCAGTTTTATGAGTACACAGTGTCTACATATTCCTAGAGTAACACTAATCCTACTTAGTATTGGGGATTAACCAGTAAAACTCTAGAAAAGCTAACTATATTTTGGAACAGATCAAGAGACAGATCTTGTCAACAATCTTTCTACATTCAACAGAGTTGTTAATATTCTCAATCCATTAATACCTGCTCATCAGTATCAAAACCCATAACTTTATTCCAAAGACTTACAATAGTCTTTGGGTTTTGTTAATCAAATCTAGCATTTTGGGCTAAGGATGTCAGTGTGCAGGAGGCCCTGGGTTTCATGGCTAACACTAAAAAAAATAATTATTAATATTTCTTTTTTCAAATTAACTACCTCAAGAATGTCTTTTAGGAATGTTTAGACATCACCAATTATTTTCTGTTAAAAAATATGACTACCATAGACCTAGATTTCTACACCAGTTTAAATTATTAAACAATCTATATCTGTTCAGTTTTTTGTCTTAAACAAAAGGTGCTGGGCACTGTGGCACAGGCCTGTAATCCCAAATACCTTTGAGACTGAGACAGGAGGACTGAAGTCAGCCTAGGCAACTTAGCAAAATCCTGTCTCAAAATAAAAAGGGCTAGGGCTGGGGCTGGGATTGTGGCTCAGCCATAAAGAGCTCACCTAGCATATGTAAAGCCTTGGGTTCAATCCTCAGCACCACATAAAAATAAATAAAATAAAATATGTGTCCAATTACAACTAAAAAATAAATTTTAAAAAAATGGTGAGGATGTAGCTGGTGATAGAATGCCTCTGGGTTCAATCCCATTTTGGGGGTAGGGCACACTTTTTTTTGAAGTTAACAAATAAGATGTAAATTTGGGGCTCAGTGTAGAGTGCTTGCCTAGCAAATGTGAGGCATTGGGTTTGATCCTCAGCACCACATAAAAATATAAATAAATAAAATAAAGGTATTGTGTTCATCCACAGCTAAAAATAAAAAAAAAATCAAAAAGATGTAAAATTTTCACGTGTGACACTGATATAAGCCACTTTATGCCTGTGGACCCAAGTTCTTACCTACCACAAGGATCAATTGAGATTTTATGTGAAAAACAATTTAAAGTGCCATAAACCTATTACTGAACTCATAATAAGCATAATGTCAACAATTTCACTTCATTTTTACCCATGTTTTTCCCAACTGCATTATAGCAGTAATTTATGAAAAATATAACATAGCCCCAGAACAGACAGCCAATAAAAACTATTCAGCTCTTCTAATTAACAGCAATAAAAATTTAGCACAACGAAACAATATTCCAAATTTAATGCTAAAATTCATTTTCAGCAACCTGCGCTCTATATCTCAAGGAATAAAGGTCTAAGAACTACTAATAGATATTAGGAAAGTTACCACTAAACCGTTACAAAACAAGTAGTTGAAGAAATATACCTCAAATTAACAGTGGTTACAAATCCTGGTCTAAGGAATGACAATGCGCAAAACCACAGCGGCAGGCGGTTTACTGTAAATCTACAAAATTTCAGTGATAAAATAGAAGCATGTGGAGCAAAATAACACAGTGCGCAACATATGGTAAATTAATTAGTACATGTTCTAGAAAACTCTGTTAATTTTAGGCTAGGAAAACAGTGGGAAGAACCACAGATTTCATTAGTACTTCTTTTAAACCAAATGTGAAATACAAAAAAATTCTAAAAATCAACTTGCAATAAAGTAGTTAGACCACCCCCTCAGCACTATCATTAAAATTTTTTTAAACCTCTACCAAGCTCAAAAGTTTGCGTTTCAGGTGTTAACACAGTAACCCCAGCAACCGTGAACATCAGGTGGTTTCTCTTTGTTGCTTACCGATGACACAGCTTTCTTCCTCAGTCCATTACTAATTAGGATCCCAAATCACTTGCCTACGGCCTGTTCTCACCCCCACCTGCACAGGGGAACTGAAGGGCGTCCAAGCATTCCGATGGGGGACCAAGGAACTCGGAGGGGCGCGGGATGGGGGCTTTGGGGGTCCGCCCGCGTCGGCTCCTCGAGAGGCGCTGGTGAGAGCCTCAGCGGGGACGAGCGCAGCTGGGGGCTGAGGGCCTCGCTCTCGCGTCGCCTGGCCGAGTGCAGGGAGGTTTCGGCGGGGCTCAGAGTGCTTTAGGGGCCAGGCCCAGACGGTGCCTCCCGCCTCGGTGCCGGGAGAGGCGAGCGGAGGGGCGGGCCTGCTGCATCCCAAACGGACCGCGGAGGCGCTGAGAGGCCGCCCGGGCCTCTCGGGGCACTGAGGGAAGACTGGGGACGCCTAGGGTCCAAGAGCTGGGCGCCTGGGGGAACCTGGAGGCGGGGCTGCAGCTGTGCCTGGGCGCGGGATATCAGGCTGCGTAAGCCGAGCAGTGCCAGTGTATCCAAGAGGAAAGACCCGCGCCTGAGGCAGAGCAGAGGGCGAAAGTAGGCCCGTGGGGGGGGTGTCCCAGCCGCATCTCGAACCCTCCCCCCACCTCACCTGCCACAAACACCACGAAGACCGCGCCGCTCCTCTTAGCCGACGCGATGGCGGCGGGAATGGCGCCCTGGAACCACAGCATCGCTCCCCTCGGGCCCAGGAACTCGCTCCGTTTGTAGTCACAGCAGTACTGGAGCTGGCCCCGCCCTCCCCCTTCGTCGGGCCCGGCGGCCCCAGCAGCCTCAGCTGGCCCGGCCCCCCGCCTCCCGCTCCTCACAAACGCGCACTCCCGTCAGCGGCCCCTGGGACGCGCGCAGGCGCGCGCGTGGCATGGAGCGCTTGCGTCACGCCGCCGTCGGCGCAGCGCCCAAGCGCCGTGTCTCGTTGGCAAGTCAGTGCGTGCGCGCGCCCGATACACCTCAGGCTTTGCCATCCGGGAAGTGGAAAGAGGCAGTGAGAAGGATGACTAACCGCTACGGAAAGTCGGCGTCGCTGGCAGTTGAGGCATGGCGGGAATTGTAGTCTTAGGCGTGTTTGTGGTTTCCGAGGCACCACGAAAGGGGAAGTAGTGAGCGCCGCTACACATCTGTGAAGAGGGAGAAGGAAGTAAAGAAGTGTGTCACTCTGACCAGACTATTCTATCCTCGGCTTCATTGAGCCCTTAAATGTGAAGATAGTCGTCCCCACATGAGATAAAATGAAATTTATAGGAATCCATTCCAAGGCTTTGGTTTCTTTTGAATTTAGCCCGACCTTGTGAAAAAAAGATAAAAACTCCGACAATCACTTTTAGTAATATATAGTCCATGCGCCTGACGACAGATATTAGAATGTCGGCCTTCAGTAATTTCATGGACATTAGCTGGAGATTATTCAAAAATGAAAAAATAGTAGTTATGCCATGCCACATCTGCTTTTTTGAAGTTGCATATATGATTACAATATACATTCTACGTCAATTAAATTTCTCTCCAACAGTACAACCATTTGGCAATCTTTGAAGGATTAAGGAGGTGATATAAAAATACCCTTTTCCTAAAATATTTTACCTAAAAATAGCTAAGAAACTGCACTCCACTTTTTGTACATTTTTTCATCTAAGTCTCTCAGTGTTATTATATACTGAAACAACACTGATTACAGTTGTTGCTTATATAGTTGTTGCACCATTTCTCAAAGAATTAGAGTTGATTTTTGAGTATGTTACTGGGGAATGAACCCAGGGTTGCTTTACTACTGAACTACATCACAGCCCCTTTTTATTTGACAGGGTCTGGCTAAATTGCTGAGGCTGACCTCAAACTTGAAATCATCTTGCCTCAGACTCCTAGCCACTGCCATTAGAAGCATTGACCACCGCTACTGCTCCAGTTGTTCACTAACATCAACTTGAAATGCACTTCTCTTTTTTTTTTATTTTTTAATATTTATTTTTCAGTTCTCGTGGGACACAACATCTTTGTTTGTATGTGGTGCTAAGGATCGAACCCAGGCTGCACGCATGTCAGGCGAGCGCGCTACCACTTGAGCCACATCCCCAGCCCATGAAATGCACTTCTTAAATTTCAGTCAACCTACAAAAAGCTAGAAGGATTTGGTGTTTCTGTGTTTGTTTGATTGCAGTACTGGGCTAGGGACAAACTACCACTGAGCTACATCCCTAGCCGTATTTGTTTGTTTGTTTATTTAATTTTGAGACAGTCTATCTCTATGTTGCCCAGGCTGCCCTTGAATTTGCAAATCTTCTGCCTCAGCCTCCTGAGTTGCTGGGATTACACCTTCCTATAGATTTTGAATGTTTTTACCATAAAGAAATTATGAGATGTGTTCAGCTTAATTTAAACATGATGTGTGTATACATGCATCAGAATATCACATGGTATGTCGTTACTATATAGAATTTTTGTGTATCAGTTAAAATTAACTTAAATAAAATTTCAATTAATGTAGAGATTCTTCTAGTAGAACTGTCTTTAATTATTCCTAGTGTTAGAATGAAATATTATATGAATCATTTCATTCATTCATAGCTTTTCATTCATTCATCAGATATTTAGCTACTGTGAACTAGGCATTGTATTTGGCATTGATGTAGTGAGATAGACAAGGACCCTGTGACTATACAGTTTAGTAAGTAGGGAGGATGTTTGAACAAGTGGTTGTTAGGAATATATAGAATATTGTTAATGAATGCCATAAGAAGGAAAATTCAGAATGCTATAGGAATGTATGATGATGAAACCAAACATGAAGTAAAGATCAGAAACCCTTTATGAGAAAATGTCCTCTCAAAGGAACTCTAGCTAGAGAAGAATCATTCCTAACATAGGAATCACCTTTGTGAAAGCTGCCAAGCAAGCAAACAGTGCACTTGAGGTTGGGGGTAAGCTCAGTGGTAGAATGCTTGCTTAGCATGTGTGAGCCACTGGGTTCTATCCTCAGTACTGCAAACCAACAAACAAGGCAAGCAAACACCCACAGTGCACTTGAAGAATGAACAATGCCCTTTGCCGCTGGAATATAGAAAGGGAAATAAGAAAAAAGAAAGGAAGGAAAGGAATTTCTCATTAAATCTTTAATTTTCAGCTGCAGAAGCATGACAAGTATTTTTTATTGCCAGTTTTATGACTTTAGCTTTTTCACTTTGGTCAATCCAAGTCTTCTTAGAGGATTTTTTTTCTTATTTATTTATTCATTTTGTTTTCATAAGTGGATTGACATTGACATTTTACTAAAGTAAATATACAGCACATTTCAAAGATTTCTGGAGCATGTCTTAATTTTAAATTTTGTTTCAAACATTATAATTGTGGGGTACAGACTGAAATCTAAATATACACACACATTAGATAATAAAATCAGTAAATTGTATATGCTTCACCTCAAACATTTTTGTTGATATGGGAAGCAACTTAGGAATACTTTCTTCTAGTTATCTTGGAATATATAGAATATTGTTAATAGCTAGTCTCCCTAGTATGTGATACAGCCATAAAACTTACTTTCCCTATTTGTGTCTATTATCGCCTCAGAATACTCCCCACACTCAGGGAGCCATAATTGTACTCTGTACTTAAATGAGATCAACATTTTTTTTAAAAAAATTTTACACATCAGAATCAGCAGTGTTTGTTACTTCTTGTGTAACTTATTTCACTTTATTCAATTTTCTGAAGGTTAAAAAGACATAATTTTATTTTTATAGTAAAATTGAGCATCTTTTCAAAACAAAGAAGAGAAGGAAAGAAGGAAGGATTAATGGAAAGAAAAAAGAAAGTACGGTACAAATGAGATAGTAAGACAGGCAAGGAGCAGATCAGACAAGGACTTGGAAGTCATGTTCAGGATTGCACATTTTTCTAAGAATTGTAGAAAGCCTTTGACGAATTATAAATACAGTTGTTACAGTTAAAACTTGGGTTTTAGGGCTGGGATTGCGGCTCAGTGGTAGAGTGCTCGCCTAGCATGCATGAGGCACTGAGTTCAATCCTCAGCACTACATAAATGTAAAATTGTGTCCACCTAGAACTAAAAAAATAAATATTAAAAAAACCAAACTTGTGTTTTAAAGTTGTACTACGGCAAATACTTTTTATGAAATACCTTGTATAAGTAGTGAAATATAAAGAGACCAATTAAGAAGCTATTATCACCTGGCTTGGTGGTGCAAGCATGTAATCCCAGTGACTAGGGAGGCTAAGGCAAGTTGAAGACAACCTCAGCAAGATTTTAAAGAATTAAAATGGCTGGGGATATAGGTCAGTGGTAGAATGACCCTGGTTTAATATTCAGCAACCCTCCCACCCCCCAAAAAGAGGCTCCTCCCTGCATGAGGAAGATGGAGAAATGAATACATTTGACATTTTGGAGGAAGGCCCAATAGGTTTTCTTTCTTTTTTAGTTTTAGTTGTAGATGAAAACAATACCTTTATTTTATTTATTGATTTTTATATGGTGCTGAGAATCGAACTTAGTGCTTCACATGTGCTACTCAAATGCTCTACCACGGAAATACACTCTTAGTCCCGCTTCCATAGGTTTTGATTATTGATTAGACACATAAATGTCAAGAGGAGACTTAGGGTTTCTGTTTTTTTTTTTGGGGGGGGTATTAGGTATTGAACCCAGGGGTGTTTTACCTCTGAGTTACATTCCCAGTCCTTTTTATTTTTTGAAACAGGGTCTCGCTAAATTGCTTAGGGACTTACTAAATTATCAGGGCTGACCTCAAACCTCAACCTCATGAGTTGGCAGAGATTACAGGTGTGTGCCACCACACCAGCCTGGGGTTTTTGTCTCGAGATATAGGGAACACTAATGGGAAGAGTATGATGGTGGAAAGGAGTATGTGAAAAGATGTGAGTTCAATATTAGAAAAGTGTTTGGAGTGCTAGAGAGTCAGTAATATGGAGATGTTACCTGCAGATACTATTAGACTTGGAACTCAGGAAATGGCTCATTACTAAAGATAGGAATTTGAGATTTCTGTATATACCAGGATGAGGCACTGGACAGTGCTGACACCTAAGGAGGTGGGGAAAAATAAGACAAGACAAGGATACGACTGAGGTCTTAAAATGTCCATAAACTTAGCAAGAGCGATTTTGGTGGGTTTCTCTGTGTGGAAGCTGGATGGCAGGGGTTTGAAGAGCAAGAAGAGATAAAGAAGGGAAGTCAATAAACATGAAGAGAAGGAGGAATAAAAGGACATTATTAGCTGGACAGAGATTTGTATTGGGAAAGACTACGTTTTAAAGATGGGAGGGTCGTACAAGGTTAAATGTAAATGGAAGGAGCTAGTCTTGGAGAGATTAAATACAGAGCAAAGAGGGAGGCCCTGTCAAAATGGGAGGGAAAATGGAATATATGGCAAAATAGCCTACCCAAAAATAGCCTGCCCAGCTATTGTTCTTCTACTGGGCCCTCCTATATTCCTGCTAGCCAAGTATACTTTCTCTGAAGCAAAACTGCCAAATACTTGCTTTTTCAACCTCCTCTTGAAATCACTAGGGCCTTGTGGAAAGGAGGGGGAGCAGGAAAAATTTTCCTAATAAGAACAACAATAATGAAAGACACCTGGAATAAGGTAAAAGGCTTTTTTTGCTGGATGTCCCTAGCCCTTTTTATTTCTTATTTTGAGACATGATCTCACTAGATTGCCCAGGCTGGCCTGAAACTTACAGTCTTCTTGCCTCAGCCTCCTAAGTTGCTGGGGTTATAGGCCTGCACTGCCATGGTGCCCA